AACATGTAGAACCCCAAAGAAGGTGACAAGTGACCTGCTCGCCTGCCGAGTCCCTACAATAACCCGTCCCGCATCCCGCAAAAGAGGAGTGCTGACTCACGCCTCCTCGAGGTTGCTGCTCTCCAAAGCCTCGGCCTCCTCCAAGGACGGCGCAGAAGTACAATCGGCAGACTAAATCAGCAGCACCGACGTGTCCACGGTAGCCAGTATGAAAGCCCTTCATATGTGTCGAACATGGAGAAACCGACAAACCACGCCGCTAGTAAACGAGGCAGGAGTAGAGTCTACGTAGGGATTATACTGCCTCCATGAAGCTAACAGGGGATGTGAGACTTCCGGCGAGGCGGAAAGCGGGAGCGACAAGGCTGCTGCACTGCTTGGCAGTATTGTCAAAATATGCATCTGAAGCTAAGCAGCCATCGACAAATGCAGCCTTCACAACTTGAACTCAATGCTCACTCCCAGTAGCCCCCCCCCCCACCTCCGCTCGGTGTAAACGTTAAGCTCTCTCACTTCATAGCATTTGATGCCCCATCCTTGCCTTGCCAAGAGCCACGATGGCGGCTTCAAGCATCATGCAGGCCGCGCAAAGGCCTGATCAAGCTACTGCGCAGAAGCGCGCAGCAAGGCACTATGTCTAAGCCTATAAGCTTTTCATATACATGTAGTTCTACAGCTCCCCAGTGAAGGACCAAGTGACACGTACACCGGAAACACAAACATCCTCAAGCTCGATGCGCTGCTGTTCGCAGTTGACATCTTCTCCCAAGGTCACCTCAGACCGCACCTATACCCCCAACAAAATCCACGACTGAAGACCGCTTTGCCCATCACCGCACCTTCTTGGGATCCGTACCTGCCGGCAACCCAACATTCATCCCGTAGGAGGAAAAAGGATGCGCATTTTTGTCGCTGCCAACAGCTGATTCCTTGAAGGACGCCCTCAGGGTGCAAAATTCCATCTGGGGCTTGTTGTGTGTGTGTGTGTTGTCCTGATCGGTCGCCAGCAGTGACAACAAGCTCACTACTGGCAATGTCAAACTTACAATGCCATGCACGCACAGGGCCAGAAGGCCCGTCCATCCCGTCCACAACATCTGGTCCCTGCGTTGGTTTCGAAGTTCAACTTTGGCAACGTGCGAAAAGCCCGAGACAACTGCATGGGCCTGGGCCTGGGTATCTCAAGCCTAAATTTCCTGAATACCACCAAACAGCAAAGCCAGCTTGGTCAGCATGGCCCCCAACTCACATTGCAGCATACTGCGGCTACCAACTACAAGTTCTGACGAGTCGGAACGTCTTACTAGTTAGGACAGGATGATACCAGTGGTTAGGCGTGGGCGCCTACAAGAATAGTTGTCCTAATTATTCCAGCTTAGAAAATCACCCTAAGCTTAATCGCAACGATATAATTCAGTGCTCGACTCCCCCCCAGTCCAGGCGGCACCCTTCCAAGCCCATGCGTAGCTCCCCGGCAGCCAGAACCTCAAAACATCTCAAAGTCAGCGAAGGTCGGACATCCGGGAGTGACTGCTCATTTGTGAGAACGGAGGGTTTAGGAGGTGTTTCATGATTCCCGCACGCGCCGTTTGAGGATTGAGGCTTTGGGCTTGAGTGTTAATTTGAAGTTCTAGGAGTGAGGGGCGTCTCTGCTTTGTTGTTTGGGCTCCGTCATTCTGACACGGATTCCTTCTCTCGTATCTTATATGGAGTCCCGGCGATCATTATTACAACTAGGCATCATCGAACCGTCACGCACACTACGATTGTCGCTATTACTGTTTTGGACTTGCAAATACACGCTCGACACAAGTGCACTACAAACAGAAAGTGAAGCGCAAGCGCAACTAGTCAAGACAGCAGCAGCAGCAACAGCAGCAGTAGCTTCGAAAGATCGCTCTTACTTCGGATAGTGATAGCAGCAACAGGGCAGTTTTGCTAGTCGTCTGTAGATTGAAAGAACAACACCTGAAAATCAAAAGTGCTGCAATAAACAAACTAAGATTCGTGACCAAAACGAAAAAGCTAAATGTCCGGTGTTCACTCATACCGCCATGTAGAAGGCGCAATTGGAAAATAGTGCAGCGCAGAGGCACCGACAGATTTCAGAGTGAACCATACCCCTACAACTTGAAGCTTCATATTTTGTCATTAAAAAGAAGGCGGCTTTCTGAGAGGGCAGCCAAGATAGGCTTCAGCCGCGACAGGGGAGAGCTCGAGCTCTTGGAGCCAGCTCCAAGCCTCGATTTGGGTTTAGGTTCAGGGTTTAAGTTTTATTTTTTGACACCTTTCTCCAACTAGAGTTTAGAGTTTAGGGTTTAAGTTTTTTTTTGTGACACCTTTTTCCAACTACAGTTTAGGGTTTAGGGTTTAAGGAATCTGACTGTAAACGTTGGGATGTTCGGGGGTTTCGGAGACTTCTGGGGCCTAGGGGAGTTCAGGGTTTTTTTGGGGGGACGTTGGGGTTTTTAGGGTTTAGGGGACTTTAGGGTACTAGGGTTTTTAAATGGAGGCTAAGGGGACGGCACCTGGAGAAGGGTTGTATTTTCAAAAACGCGGCAGCAATTAGAAGTATTCGTATTTTAGCCATTTATTCTAACCATTGCGATGATTATTGTTACCACTGATTGTCATTATCATTCATAGCAGTACCGTTATAATATTGTTTTTTTCTACATGCTGTTGTGAAAGCTGGCCTCTTGTCGTCATCGCCAACACCGCCAAGTTGCCGTTACAAACGTTACCAGAAACACTGATGCTTTCATGTTGTTTTGGGGGTTTCGACTCACTCACTCGCACGGGGCTGGCATGGCGTTTGAGGGTCTCGGCTTGCTTGCCAGTGAGACATCACCAATACGAACGATAGCAGAGAGCACGAGCCCCATTTCGAAACTGTGGAGAAGGCTAAGCGCACGAAAGACTACCATAGTAGCACAAACAGTACGAGGGTTTTCGATGCCAGTCGTATATGGAATTATATGGACATCCCGCCATCGTGGGAGCATTGTGCCCATGGCCGTAGCCGGTTCAGCTGCAGCTGTTGCAAAACATTCACCCCGGAGACTCAACAAGTGGACCTCGTAGCCCACTTAATCACGTTGAGTGCCGTTGTGCTCGTCATCCGGTCATGCAGGTGCAGTAGAGCCATAAAAAAAGCTTGTCTTGAACTCACTTCATGCATGTTGTCCATGCAGCGCCACAACCATGCAGGTACCATCCCCATGGATAACAGGTCATCGAATAGAACACATGCGCATGCAGCAAAGTCCCGAACACCTCATACATGCGGGTTCTGTGGGGGTATCACATGCAGCACCAGATGCTGGTCACCGTAGTCAAATTCCTGACTCATGCAGTCGGATATTCCACATTAACGTATTCCAAGTTAAATTACTGTGCTCACACTCTGTCTCCGTGCAGTGCATCAAAGCACCGAATTCCAGCCTGAATGCATGTGTTGTGGATGCCTAAGTGATGAGGAGCCCGAACTCAAGCCCTGGTATACAGTGTCCGAGCTTGCTACTGGTTTACCTCTTGATGACTGCAGAGCAATGCAAAGCATTTTCAACCCTCGCGGGCAGGCTTATGGTCCACTTCGGACCTCAAGCACAAAACATGGTTTCGACTCCTGGTACACTTCTCGATTTGTGCGTACATGGTTTAGGGTTTAGTGACGGTTTAGTGTCTATGTAATTAGCATGTTGGCCTGTTCCACGTTCTCCCACCACTCGTCCTGATGCTAAAAACCACACTCGAAACCCGGCGGACAGCGTGTTTTGCCATCCGCTGCGGCAGCCGAGGCAAGTCAATCACCTTGGATGCCGGATGCCGCTCATGAAATCTCATGAACAGTTGGAGGGTAGGCCGCCAAGACAATCCTGAAGTCCTAAAGGCAGGCAGTGAAATCCCGGACCCAAGACAAGTCTGCACTATTCGAAAGACGTGGACTGCAGTTTGATGCCGATGCAGTCAACAGGTCTTGCCCAACATTTGCTCAGGTGCTTCAGCCACTTGCAGACGGTCTCGGCCATGCGATCGAATGCCGCATGGTGAGATGCTTCCTGAAGCTGAGGGCTTAGGTTCTGCCCACGAGTCCTGAGCGACTCTTATTTGTGGCCATAAACCATCCCGAACGGGAATCAACTACTTTTTTTCTCTCTTTCGTATCTCTAGTATCTGTCTGTCAGTTACAACTTCGGTGGCCGATAGTTGCACTCTTCGATCCTCAGAACTGTTGTGCTTTCTCTGTTTCCTGCATGTAGCTGCTGCTGTTGCTTCTGTCGACAGCTGGCCTCAAAAAGGAAGCATGTAACTCGTCTGAATCGCGTGATGAAGAGACCGCATCTTTGTTGCAAGCCGCAGTGAATAGTATGAACAAACAGGTCTGCACGTGGCATGGGTGTACAGGGATGTCGTGTGCGACTACATAGACGCACACAAAAAAAGCGAGACAGAGAGAAAGAGAGAGCGAGAGAGAGTGAGAAAGACAGAGAGGCAGAGCAACAGAGGGATTTCTTCTTTCTGTTTATTTCAATCGAGTGCCTCTGCAAAACTGCGAAGGGTTCATTGGGGCTCTTCGCATCGCAAGCTACATAGCCATCTCCTTCGTAGTTGCCTACTGTGCGCTGGACCTCTCGGGGGCGTTGCGGTTTTGACTGCGGGATCCACCAGGCTATGATGAGCAGGCATACCAGGCAGCCAGCAGCTTTTGGCGCGAGCAAAGCGCTAACTTAGCCCTCCTGGACCTGCAGAAGAAGGGAGAAGTCCTGCTGCAAGCAGGGGCAAAGTGTAGGACCTCGTGCAAGAATCCCCTGTGCAAGTGCAGTGGCAGGTCTTACCGGCAGGTATTACTGCCGTCACTGTCAGCACGCAAAAGTGCGCTCACGATATGCTTTACATCTTCTAATCTGGATTCAAGAGCAATCCCGCCTTATGTGGGATGCTCAAAACATGCAGATTGCAATCTGTCCAGAACTTGGAATTAAATCGTCAAGCTAGATCTAGTTTTTGGGGTATACGGTGTGGGTCAGCAGGAGTGTGCCATCGTAGTTGATCGACTCGACGAGGATCTGCGTCTTACTGATTGTCAGGTCATAGAACCCATACTGCGCTTCGCCGTACCAATCCACGGTGTTGTTCGGATTCGGAGTGGCTTCTGACGTGATCCCTCCTCCTCCACCGGTGACAATGCAGGTCATGCCCATGTGGTTCTTCCAGTGCTGATCGGGTGTCCTAGGCAAAGTGAGCCAACTGCCATCCAAACCCATGCTGCGACTTAAAAGGTGCAGGTTCTCACGTCGTTCGGTGCTGTCTGAGACAAGACCGTGTGAGCAAAATCTTACATTCTTCCACTGCCGGCAAGGGTCCACAACTCCTGATCGTGCCGGTGGCCTGTGATGAGGAGATCTAATCCCTTCGCACGTAGCGATCTGTAGAACCCCTGTTCATGGCCACAGGGAAAGTGCGTGACGACGATTTGCCATGTCGCCGTTGACTGCCTCACCAAGTCGCGAACCCAAGCCTCAGCAGCAAGTCTTCCCTTGTCTGCATGCTGATGAAGCTATTGCTGGAGTTGTTAAGGATGAGGCTTTTTTCGTTGACCCCGGCCGCTCGCGTTACGAAGCCGCTGGGTTTATAGCACCAGGGCTGCGAGCCCTTTCAAGCATCTACCCCGTATTGGATCAAGTCTAGAGAGCTGGAGAAGACAGTTAACGCATCCATTCTGACTACAGCTTCGATGCTTCAGGATACAAGGTTTTCTACATGCTATCACGAAATACCCCCACCATCAAAAGCTGGTGACCATGCCCAAACTCCCCAAAAAAAAGCCGAAGCCCTCAAGACACTGTTCCGAGCAAAGCCTTTAAGCCCTGAGGTCTACATTCGAAGACCGTGCAGGCTAATGATGAGAGTGGCGACCCCAGCAGTTGCTTGATTCATGAGGGTCCCGTCTTGGATCCCTTCAGGGTGGACCTCTGGACTCTTACATCCCTTTTGCATACAGGCCTATTGCGACTGCCGGGTACCCCCTAAACCCTGAAACCTAGCCCGGTAAACCCTGAACATAAGAACTGGCCAAAGACTTCTGTCGAGCAGCTTTCTGCTCTTTCCAGAGCTTAGCGAACCTGAACTTTTCATTCAAGACTTCTGTCTAGTTATTAACGAAGTATGAAGACGTAGTAGTAGTAGTAGTAATAGTAGTAGGTAGTAGTAGTAGTAGTAGTAATAGTAGTAGTAGTAGTAGTAATAGTAGTAGTAGTAGTGGTAATAATAGCGGGAGTAATACTAATAGTAGTAGTAGTAGTAGTAGTATTAGTAGC